GCGCGGAGCTGTGCCGGGGCCCCGGGGCGATCCGCGCCGTTCCCGACCGGCGCCGGCCGCGGGAGCGGGATGCGGGAGCGGGATGCGGGAGCGCGGCCTCGGGGCCGCGTCGGCCGGCCCCGGGGGCGCGCGGCGCCCCGCGCATGCGCGGCAGGGGGGCGGTGCGGCGGGAAGCGGGTGGGGCTGGCCCGCTCCGCTCCCTCAGGCTCCGCGGGGCTGCCGCGCTGCTCCTGCCCGCTCACAGGTACCGGGGACGGGGGACAGGCGGCGTTCCGCTCACCGGGGAGGAGGGGGGGGGGCGCCCAGCGGGGCCCCGCGCGCCGGCGGCGCCCCGGCTCACGGGGGCTGCCGGAAATGGATGTCCCGCGGACCCTCCCCCCGCACCCTGCCCGGTGAACGGCGGGGCGGGCGGGGGGGGTGGTGCAGGGAGGAAGCGTCTTCCCGGTTGCCGGGACCTCGCTGCTTCAGCGGGGGCTCGTCCCCGGCGCTGCAGTGACCCGGGGACTTCCGGGACTCACTCAGGCTTTGGGGCGTTCCCCCATCGCCCCCGGGGCGGGCGGCTCCGCGCACCAGCGGCGCCGGAGGACGTGGGGCGGCACGGGCAGGCGCGGCCGCGGTATTCCCGGCCTTGCCCTTGCCCTGCCCCGCCGGGGCAAGGCCCGCAGTCCGCGCTGGCCGGCTCCGGGCCAGCGTCCCCGCCTCGGGGGTCCCCGAGGGCCGAGCGGGACCAGCCCGGTCGCGGACACCGGCCCGAGGACCGGGGAGAGAGCTCTGGGGCGGGCCGGCCACGGCTGTGCCGCACCGCCCTGCCCGCCCTGCCGGGGCGCGAGGAAAGGGTGTCTGCATCCCGCTGCGTGGTTTTGGGTGGGGACGCGAGGGGACACGCTCCCCGTGGCCACACCGAAGCCAGGGAGGTCGCTGCAGCAGCTCCCACCGGGACGGACAGCTGGACGGGGATCTCCGAGTTGGGGCGCTGGGGTAGGAGTCCTGCAGGGCAGGACTGGTCCCCATCGGGGAAAGGCCTGCGTCCCCACCGTGTCCCGGCTGGAGCGGCTAACCGGCCGAGGAAAACCCTGCCCCATCCTCTGTCTGTTCCCCACCGGATCCTGCCCGCGCCCCTGCAAGCTCCCCGTTCCTTTGAATCTGCCGGCAGGATGTCTACATGCTTCTGCCGTGCCTTCATCGCTGGCTGTTAGATCCATATTTGGTAGCAATAATTGTTTACTCCCTTCTCCTCTCTCCCGCAGCCTCGCTGCTGAGAAGGGGAGGGGACATATTTTGGGGATTTTTATCTTTGCCAGAACCTGTGAGTTGCTCAGTAAAGGGTTTGAGTGCCACATCTCCCCCCGCAGAACGTGGGGTGAAACCCCCCCAAGGGCTAAATGAGCCGGTCATGGTGCGTGAGGAGCACCAGCCAAGCATGCAACTTGCTGAATAGCAGCAGCAGGAATTTGGTGCTTCTCGAAGTGACATGTCCCAGCAGATTTAGGGAGGGGAGTGAGAAAGCTGAGGAAGAGACGACGGGGACCTGTGGGGCACCCTCATTTCCAGAAGTGAGCTTTGCTGGCTACTGGGTGGAAAAGACCCCAAACACTCAGCCACGTTCTCCCCTTGCTTTCCCCTTTCTGCCTGTCCAGCAGTGTAGTGCTGGGCAAGTCGGTTGCCCTGGGAAGCATATATGCCTGAATCAGGGTACCTAGTGGTTTCCACAGGTTTTGAGAGTACCCAGTGCACCCCAGAGCCTGCTTCTGGGGTCCTGTGCCAGAGGCCCAGCTCACTAAGAACTCAGCAGAGGCTGTGGCTGGAGTCCCCCTTGTCCCCATGCCTGCTTGGCAGTGGGCAGTCCGGAGGTGCCACAATTTGTGCTCCATTGCTTTGGAGGGCAGGGGATGCCCAGCAGAATCAGACAGGCTTGGAGGTACATGTGAAACGTGGGCAGTTAAAGGCCGGAGCTGGTTCAGCTCATTGCATGTGAGCAGGCAGGAGGCTGTGGCTGTGATCCGCCAGCCTGGCTGCCTGTCCCCTGCCCATTTCCCATGCAGAGCAGGGCTGCTTCCCTGTGAGGGTGAGAGGATGCTGCTGTCCCAACCATGGGTGACAGCTGAGTGGTCACAGGGGTGCTGTGTCTGACCTTGCTAGCCACTCATGCTCCCCAGGGGCAAGCTTGGCCTCAGCAAAAGAGAAGAAACTGCTTTCCCATCTGACATGTACGTGCAGCTGGGAAAGAGGAAGCAGGCAGAGCATGTGGCACCATCACCAGCTGGGGCTGCTGGCAGGTTCCCACGTCTGCCCCCAGTGCCTTCTGTGTCCCATACCGGAGAACCCAGCCAGAACCTGGTCCAGCTTCTTACCAGATTAATTTTGACCCAGTTGATTGTGCAGATGCCAGCATACCAGCCAAGCCACTGCTGACAGATGTTGCAGTTTGGTGGCTTGCTACCCGCCTGGCTGTGCCAGTGGCCAGAGTGATGGGGCCCTGTGTCTGCGGAAAACCCCGGCACTGTGTTGGTTTGCAGCTGATAAAGCTTCCTGCAGCCAGTTCCCAGTCCAGGGGTGGTCAGGAGTGGGGGCTTTCCCAGGTGAAATTAGGTATTGCTGTAAAAAAAAAAATTAAAAAAAAAAAAAAAAAAAAAAAAGGAAAAACCTGAAACCTCATCTGGAGTATCCCTTAGAAAGGACATATTAAAAATAGCAAAATGGTTCCATTTGAAGCTTTTTGAGCTTGTTCTAGAAACTCACCGTGAGCGTTCCAGCAGGCTGCAGCTGAATTTTGGTCGATTTTTTTTTTTTTTTTTTGGTCATTTTAAGACACAAACCCTCCTCTGTAGCTGTTACTGCAGCACTGAACCGGGCCGACACAAATATAGCAGTTTCATCACGTGACGGAAAACTTGCTGTCAGTGGTCCCAGCAGAGACGCGGTGGCTCCTCGGGCCAGCACGGCGCTGTTTGCACTGACCCTGCCTGTGCTGACCCTGTCTTTGCACCTTCACCACTGCCCTGGTTTTGCTCACCTAGTGTGGGGTGAGACGGGAGGAAGCCGCAACAGCTCCTCAGGGAAGTGGTGGGACCCCACCAAGGCCTCCCTCCCACCCCCTCATCGTTTTGGGATCAGCTCAGGAACATGCCCGTGGTTCAAAGGGTTGCACTCAGCTTGGTGTAAAATGCAGAAGTGTGTTACTCCGGCTGCTCTGGTGCCCTTTGCATAGTGACAGCTGATTGCAAATGGGTGTGCTTGCTCTGGAGGTGAGACAGCACGGAAATCTGGTGTGTATTCATCGAGACTTGGTTTATTTGGGGTTTTTTGGTTTTTTACTTTCCAGTGGGACAGCTTGAATTCCAATGTCCTTTTACTTTACTTTCCTGGTTTGTGCTGCCAGGCTCCCACGCTGTCTCATCTGTTATGTCTAGTCCAGCTTTTCCTTCCCCACACGGTTCCAGTCAGGGAGAGGTCTGCAGGCGTTGGGCCCTGCATTGGTGCCCTTGGAGCAGGCAGAGGATTTGCAAACCTCGTGTGATTAATTGCCACGTTTGCTTGCAAATCTCCCCAGGGTTTGAGGAGATGTCCTTAATGCAGCAGGGAGCATTTCGGCTTTACACACTGCTGTCAGCAAAGTTCAGCTGCTGGAGCGTGAACTTTTCCCACAGAATATGGGAATTACAGTGAACCATTTACCTTTCTTCTGAGGTCTTCCCTGATGTCAGCATCTTCCCTGCCCAGCTCTGTTGTTTTTGTAAGAGTTTGGGAGTGGAAAGGCTTGAGCAGTCACTTTCCCCATCTTCCTGGGGGGTCTTGGAAAGCATGATGGCCCTTGTGAAGAGTGTGCTAAGGGGTACCTGTGGTGCAGTGCTGGATTTTGGGTGGCTTTGGGAGGGCAAGAAGAGGATGCAGAAATGGCGGTGCATGGCCTGGCTCCTCTCACTTCCTCTCTACTGTCCGGCGTCCTCCCCTCCTCTTCCTCTGTGGTCTCTGACCTTGTCGTGGCGGTGGCATGTTCTCCTTTTCCTGCAGAGAGATGGAAGGCAGCTTTATGCTCAACTTGAGAATATTTTTAGATATAGAGAAGTTGGCTTGGTGACCGCAGCAGCCCGCCCTGCATATAAAATACTTGGAAAACCCTTTCCATGACAGGGTGTTCCTCGTTTGCTCAGCTCACAGCTTTGCTGGTGCTTCTGGATAGATGGCAATGGCACGGGCGGGTGCCTCTGCCACCTCATGCCCTGTGCCGATGGGCTCCCTCGCTCTGGACCTAAAATGCATTTCATTCCTCAGCAGCGGAGACAGTGGGGGCCACGGGCCTCCGCAGAAACATTGCAGAACGGCTCAGGAATGCAGAGCTGGAGCCGCTCCATGTGCTGGCGGAGGCGGCACGCTCCTCAGTCCCTGCCTCCCACCCTGCACCACCAGCATGGCTCCGTGGCTCTGCAGGAGCAGGGCCCCTGCCCTCTGACTCACTCCTGGCCAAAACTGGATGCAGATCCTGCCCCTAGTACGCTAAGGTCTATGTTTGGGATCAGCCCCCACTTGTGCACCCCTTTCCAGGGGAACTGGAGTTGGCAGCACTGTGCAGGGACGCAGAGGCTCACTGTGGGCTGCTACAGCACAAGGAAGGCTGCCAGCACATTTTACCCAAGAACCTTCCCAGGCCAGGCTGAGGATGCACGATAAGCTTTCCCTGACAGCCTTAATAGGAAGCCTGGTAGGAGCAAATCAGTCTAAAAGAGAACATGCAGATGTGGTGCATCCCACACTGTAACCTCCCACCACTGGGTTTTAAGGACAAGGCAGCTTGGGTTGGCAGAACAGAGAGACTCCCTCCCTGTGAGCAGTCTCTGAGAGAGGAAAAGGCATGTCATTGCTGGAGAGCATCAGGCTGGGGCCAGATGAGGATTGGGAATGCTGAGCAGGGCAGGGAGCAGTGGGACGGGGGCACAGGACCCGATGTAGGGAGCCTGAGGCATGTGGGAAAGCACTGAAAGCTGCTGCACAGTGGGTAAACCCAAAGGAAAGGGCTCTTAGAAGCTGCATCAGGCAAGCAGGGGTCTTATTTACAACCTTATTCGGTTATTTCTTTCATATTTCACTCTGCTATAAGAATACTGCAGTACTGATTTGTTGTCATGAAATCTGGTGTTTTGGAGCCCTGTTGAGGGCCACTTGCTCTGAGGCTGCTCTGGGCAATTCTTCAGCCCTCAACTCTACAACTCCCTGAAAGGAGATTGTAGTGAGGTCGGGGCCAGCCTCTTCTACTGTGCCTACAGTGAGAGGACCAGAGGAAATGGCCTTAAGTTGAGACAAGGGAGATTCAGATTAGATATTAGAAAAAAATTTTTCACTGTTAGGGTGGTCAGGCATTGGAATAGTTTGCCCAGGGAGATGGTGGAGTCGCCATTCCTGGAGGGGTGTTAAGGACGCATCTGGATCTGGCACTGAGTGATGTGGTTTAGGGGTTACAGTGACAGTAGTGGATGGACAGCTGGACTTGATGATCTTAAAGGTCTCTTCAAACCCTGATGATTCTTTAATTCTATTCTATTCTATGAAGCTGATGGTTCAGGCTGGATCCAGCTTGTTCCCTGTTTCAGATGGCATGGTACAGCTCTGGCGTGCCCTTGCCATGGCTAGTCCCTTGCCCTCCTGTGCATCATCCTGTGCACAGGCTCCCCAACCCTGGGTTTGTGCCAGTAGCTGCTGCCACAGACCCTGATCTCTGAGCACTCCCTGGGTGTGAGTGGTGCTTTCCACAGGTAATTGTATTTAACATGTGAGTTCTGTGCCTGGTGCCCTTATCTTGCCTCCCCGAGCAGCTTCAGGCTTTTCCGTCCCTCTGTGCACAGGGTGCCAGCTCAGCACACTCTCCTGGTGACATGGAGGGCCCTGATAGCTGTGGCAGGGGCCTGCCAGCTCTGGGTCAAAGCTTGGTTTTCCTCTTGTGGCTTCTGTGTCATCACAGGTTTAATTATAACTCCTTCCATCTTGCTGTCCCACAGTTTCTTATCTTGTGTTCTCCCACATGCTCGCTTCCTCCTCTCTGGCAGCATCTCCACTGGGTACCAGCTGCTGTCACTCCAGCAAGCAAGTAAAATTGGCTTCGGGACCTTGGCACGAGGAGGTGAGGGTCCCAGTGCTGGCTGGAGATCCCAGCGTCTGCAAAGTGGGACCCCCTCACAGGCTCACCAGCACAGGCTGCAGCCCTTGCTTGCCAGTAGAATCTGGGTCCTGGTTTTCAGGCAGCAGAGGTGTCCCAGCAGGAGGAGGAGAAGGAGGAGGAGGAGGAGGAGGAGAAGGAGGAGGAGGAGGAGGAGGAGGAAGGACCCAGTGCACCAGCGGGCTCAGCAGCCAGAGCTCACCCTTCTGTGTCCTCCAGCAGGTGACGCAGGAGTGGGGACAGCCCAGCCGCCACCATGGTTGCCCTCTCGCTGAAGATCAGCATCGGCAATGTGGTGAAGACGATGCAGTTCGAGCCCTCCACCATGGTGTACGACGCCTGCCGCATGATCCGGGAGCGGGTGCCCGAGGCCCAGATGGGACAGCGTAAGTCCGTGGGGGGACTGGCTGCCGTGCCTTTGGCATTTCACTGGTCTCCCTTCTCACTTCTGTCTGTGCCTCTGTGGTGCTTTCCCAGAGAAGTGGTGGGGTGGGGGGAGCAAAGGCCAAGTCCTCCTGCCTCGTTGAGGTGAGGGTCTGAGCTTCTCAGGTTCCCTCCTCAACATCCCAGAAGAAATCTGGGGCTTTGGAAGGTAGGAAACGACATTTGGAAGTGAAATATTCCTGAAGCAACATGAGCCTGCTGCCCTTTCTGTCTCTGCTCCTCTGTCCTACTTGCATTCATCACCACTAGCCAGGGCTAGGTGTGTTTGAATGGTTGCAAGGGTCGTTACAAACATTAATAAGCATTTATGTTAATTTTTCCTTCCTTGGGGGTGTATAGTGTCCATTGGGTCTGTCTCCCACTAGCAGCTCTCTGCAAGACCTAGTGCTGGTGCTCCAGTACCTTTCTAAGCCTTCTGAGCTCTAGCACTTTCCTGCTGCTGCTGGGCTCACGATTAAGCCTCTGGCTCATGACGTGACTCACACCCACGCGGATATGACCTGTCCCCATCATGGATGGGGGGGTTGGAGCTCTGGGACACTGTCACGGAGGCTCTCCTGGGTCCCTGCAACCCTCAAAAGCAGCTGTGCCACCCGGGAGAGACAGCAGAGAGGAGGTCAGGAGTCGTGGGAAGAGGAGGGGAAGCGCAGCGACATCTGGGAGCTGCAAATTCCTTGAGGATGAAAGGAAATGCCTTCTCACACCATGCCCGACTGGTCATCAGTCCAGCAGACCATGGCTTTCAGTTTCAGAGAGGGACTGGATGTCTGTGGATGCAGGGCTATACTGGTGTTGGAAGGAGCATTGCATTTCCTGCTCCTGGGCGTGAGCCAGCCTGTTTATAAAAAAACAGCAAGACTAAAGCCTTAAAGGGAACTTCTTATTCCTGAATTCCTTTTCGGTTTCTCACGGCTTTTCTTCTCCTATCTTCCTTGCAGCTTTTGTTTCTCTTTGTTCTCCTTAAACACTGGCACTCTGGCTCCCTTTTTGAGCTGCCCTGGTTTTTTGTCACCTTTGGGCTGGAGGAGCTTCAGTGTAAGTTTCCAGCTCTGCTATTGCTCTGTCTCAGGAAGTGCCTCTCCCCGCCCAGCCTATGGATCTGGGGCAAGCTGCTCAGTTTTCAGTGCTTTAGAGTTATCCTCTTGGAATTTGCTTTGAAAACAGTTTGGGGTTTTGCTGGGTTTTTTTCTACTTTAAAAATAAAATGGCAAGCCTCCGTGGTTTTTCTGCTCCCTGTTTAGTAGGATCCTAACGGCAGTGTTAGCCAGGCAGGCGCAGGGCAGCTCAGGAATTTGTCCCTCCCCAAAGAGAGCTGCCAACAAGATGACGAGTTATAAACATAGCCAACCAAGACAGCCTGCGGCACAGAGTTGTTGCAGAGGTGGAGAAGGACCTTTCCAGGGCACAGCCAGGCGTGGCCCTGGCCTCGAGCAGCATAAAAATGCAGTTTGAGCTGAGGTGCTGCTGCCCAGGCTCCAGCAGCGGGACTTTCATGAGCCCCAAGGGAGCAGAATTTGGTGAACAGCAATTATTCACCACCTCTGACACTCCATCCTCCTTCAGCCTTCTCCTCTACAGAGGAGTCCCAGCAATTCTAGTCCCTCACACCAAAGTTCCGTCATTTAAATTGCCTCTCTCTGCATCCTTTCAAACTCTTCTGTGTCCTGGGGAGGTGCAGAGTCCACCACCACGAAGTACTCAAGGTGTCAATTGCCTAGATTTTATATACCGGTTCCCACCACCTTTCCTGGTGATCCAAGACTTTATTACCTTGCTTTCACCACTACTACACATTGCCCTGAAGATTTTGGAGAGCTGTCAACCACAACTGCAAGCTCTCCCTTCTGTGGTGTCTGTCAGTTCCAAGTTGGGCATTGTGTAGGCACACTTCAGATGATTTTTTTCCATAGATATCTGTGGTAAAACATGCACCTCGGAGCTTGCTTGCCAGCTTTGTTGCCCACTCATTGGGTTTAGGCTCCAGCTTTCACAGTGCTGCTGTGCTTCATGCACTGGGCTGCACTGATGCACATCCCTGGGCACAGACTGGCGTCTTGGTGGCCCTGTCCTGCTCAGGACTCCCCTGGCAGAGACTTTACCTGTTTTTCAGCTAATGATTTTGGGCTGTTCCTCTCGGATGAAGACCCAAAGAAAGGGATCTGGCTGGAGGCTGGGAAGGCTCTGGACTACTACATGCTTCGTAATGGGGTAAGTGTCCATCCCACGTCCTTCCAGCTGGTACTTGCCTTGGCTGCACAGTTGGATGTGCCCACAGTGTGGAGATTGTGTGGGTGCCTGCCCTGCTGCCTTGCATCGTGTCCTGCAGCATACTGTGTCCCCCCACAATTGCACTGGGCATTTGGGAGCTGTTGGCATGACGGTGGGATGTGGATTCCCTGCACTGGTTCCACCACTGGGAGCTGTGCTCTGCTGTGCCTGCAGGATACCATGGAATACAAGAAGAAGCAGCGGCCCCTGAAGATCCGCATGCTGGATGGGACAGTGAAAACAGTGATGGTGGATGACTCCAAAACTGTCACAGACATGCTCATGACAATCTGTGCCCGGATTGGTGAGAAGAGAGGGCAGCAATGGGGGGAAGAAGGGAGGTGGGGAGAGATGGCAGCATCTGACAGGCTACTGGGGGAGTGGCAGCAACTCTGCAGCAGATGGGTGTCCAAGGGGTGTGTGACGCTGGGGAGGCCACACTGCTCAGCACCCCTGCGTTGCTCTGTGCTTTGTATTTGGCAGCAAAATTATGCTGAGTTTGGTTCTCTGCTGTCCCGCAGGCATCACAAACTATGATGAGTACTCGCTTGTTCGGGAGATTATGGAAGAGAAGAAGGAGGAGGTTACTGGCACCCTCAAGAAGGACAAGACCCTGCTGCGAGATGAGAAGAAGATGGAGAAGCTCAAGCAGAAGTTGCACACAGATGATGAGTGTAGGTGCCTGGATGTGCTGGGGATGAGGTCAGCCTGTGTTGAGGGCAGTGGGGAGGGGAGCAGGGAACCCCCTGCAAGGGGAAGAGCCAATCAGCAGAACGGAGAGGTCTATAACGAGGGAATGTGTGTGCACACCTCCTGGAGTGTCTCCTGCCTGGGGCCCAGGACAGAGGGGTGAGAGCCGATATGCACCAGGCAGGCATCCATTCCTCAGTCCTCATGAGCAGCCCCAGGGCTGGGATCAGCCCTGCCTCAGGGCCTGTCCCTGCTCATGCCTTGACATTGCCTGCAGTGAATTGGCTGGACCACGGCCGGACCCTGCGCGAGCAAGGCATCGACGACAACGAAACGCTGCTGCTGCGGCGCAAGTTCTTCTACTCTGACCAGAACGTGGACTCGCGAGATCCTGTGCAGCTCAACCTGCTCTACGTGCAGGTACAGCTTCCCAGGGCATCTGGCTCCACTGCCAAGTGCCAGCCCCTGGCTGGTGGCTGAAGGTTTTTTGAGGAGCCACCATGGGGGGTACTTCAGGATACCCAGTTATTTGCTGGGTAAGAGCTAATGCTGGCAATCCCAGCCCTGCCCTCTGTGTACTCCAGAGCTCCCTAGGGAGTCCCATGTCAGCTGTCTGGTTCATCTGTCTGGTCAGCTTCAGGGACCATCCTGAAGTCCTGCTGCTGTTTCTGTCCCAGGCTTGATGCTGTTCCCTGTGGGGGACAGCCTGGTTCTAGGTCTTCCTGTTTTTCAGGGCAACTTCTTTTAAGTCTGGAGAAGAGGTAGTGCTTGGTGTGGAGGGGAACAATGGCAGGGCTGCGTGGCTGGCCAGCTCACAGCAGTGTCTTCTATTCCCGCACAGGCTCGTGACGATATCCTGAACGGTTCACACCCTGTCTCCTTTGACAAAGCCTGTGAGTTTGCTGGCCATCAGTGCCAGATCCAGTTTGGGCCATACAACGAGCAGAAGCACAAGCCAGGCTTTCTGGAGTGAGTGTCCTGAGGAGCCCCTGGGCTTTGTCTTGAAGAGTGTGGAGTAGCTTGGCAGTACCCAGCACCACACCTCCCTGTGGGACTCCAGGGGTTTGGTTGCCTCTGGTGCAGCCCTTCTCCTCCTTACAGCACAGTGCCCAAGTGTGGAGATCCACACCAGCTGCAAGGGGTGCCAGCCCCCCATCCTGCCATCCTGCTCCCCCTGGCACCCCTACAGGAACATGCAACCAGCTCCAGTGGGGATCCCCAGCCTACCATATGGCCTGCCCTGATGCCACACAAAGGGCTGCATCCTCAGCACCTTCACCCCACTCAGCTAGGGCAGCTCCAAGGACAGCTTTCATAGCTGTAACAACCTCTCCCAAATCCATTCTGCTTCCAGAATCTTCCAGCTCGTGCCCTGGCAGGGGTTTGTCTGAGGCTTTGGGTTGGATCTCCTCACAGTTGAAGACAGACTCTTGCTTTGGGCTCTGCTAATAACAACTGTCTTGGCTGTGTCTTGGCAGGCTCAAGGATTTCCTGCCTAAGGAGTACATCAAGCAGAAAGGAGAGCGCAAGATCTTCATGGTAGGTGCAGCAGGGAGGTTGGAAACTGGGCTTTTTGTTCCTCCTCACTAAAGGCTGAGCGTGCTCCTGTCACAGAAGGCAGCACATAGCAGTCTGATGGGAGGGAAACAGGAGCAGGAACTGTAGGTGGGCAGACAAGGCAGCTCCTGAGATGTACTAGAGATCAGAGGGATGCTGTAGCAGGGGCAGGGGATGCTTATGGGGCAGGGAGAGCCTGGAAAGGCTGTGGAACGGTGGCACAAACAGGACTATGGATCCTGGTGCAATGTTCTGTCTTTGCTGTCGCAGACCCACAAGAACTGCGGGAACATGAGTGAGATCGAGGCCAAAGTTCGCTATGTGAAACTTGCCCGTTCCCTCAAGACCTACGGGGTCTCCTTCTTCTTGGTCAAGGTAGGGCAGCAGCCCCCTGGTCCCTCATCTCATCCACCAAAATTCCTCCCTCTGTTGTGCCTCCAGCTACTACCCCTCAACACAGGTTGCTCCAGTTTTCCTTACATGTCCATTGTCTGCCTCTCCTTCATGCCTTTCACTGTGCAGTGTCTTCCTACTCCTTGGTTCATGCTTTTTCTCCTTTCCAAGCTCCATATGGTAGTTGTCACCATCGGAAAGCATGGCCTTGGGGGTGTTTGGTAGCCACAGCAGGTCTCAAAGGTCTCTGCCTGGATGGATCCATCCTGGGGGTAGCCCACAGCCCTTGTGTTGTGGCCCACAGGAGAAGATGAAGGGGAAGAACAAGCTGGTGCCACGGCTGCTGGGGATCACCAAGGAATGTGTGATGCGTGTGGACGAGAAAACCAAGGAAGTGATTCAGGAGTGGAGCCTGACCAACATCAAGCGTTGGGCAGCCTCACCCAAGAGCTTCACCCTGGTAAGGACCAGTGCTTGGTCCTCCACATTCCCTCCCTGTTGGTGCCCCTGTGGGGGGCTGCTCTCACTTAACCCCTCCCTCGGGTGTTGCCCCACAGTGGCACAGCCCTGCCGTCCTCTGGGACCCCTCCCAGCTCTTGTTCCGGAGGCTGGCGCTCGGGTGCTTAGCGCATACCAGAGGGGCTCAGGGTGGCCTCCAGTGCTCTGCTCTGGTGCTACCCTGTGCCCTGCTGTTGCAGGATTTTGGAGATTACCAGGATGGTTACTACTCGGTGCAGACGACGGAGGGGGAACAGATCGCCCAGCTGATTGCTGGCTACATAGATATCATCCTGAAAAAGGTGAGGCTGTGCTGAGGAGTGCACTGATAACTGGTGAGAGGTGCAAGGTGCCCCTTCCAGCTGCTTCCAGACAGCCATCGGCACATGGTACTGCTGGAAGAACTGGAGATAGGGCAGGGGAGCCCTGCAGCTCTGGTACAGTGTCTGGGCTGCAGGAGAAGGGGAAGGCTTGGAGGTTCATGCTGTCTGACACACCTTCTCTTTCCCTCCACAGAAAAAGAGCAAAGATCACTTTGGACTGGAGGGGGATGAGGAGTCCACCATGCTGGAAGACACTGTGTCTCCAAAGAAGTAAGTCTTCCTTCCAGGAGCAAGATAGTTGCCAAGAAGATATTGAATGGAGAGCAGGCTCCAGCCAAACTTGCAACACAGCATATCTAGAGGAGGAGCTACTAGTCCTTTGATGCCAGCTCTCCCACGGAGCCTGGTTCTGTGTCCGTGGGCATTGCTTCACCAGGTATTTCCT